TGCCTAGGGCCTCAGGTGTCTGCAGTGGGTGGAGTGAGGAGTCTGAACTGCTGCCCAAGCCCCTGGCAGTGATGTGGCTGTCACGCCACCTTTCCCTGCCATAGTAACATCATAAAAGTCAGCTGGACAGAAACTCTCTAGAGGGATCTGTCATCTCATGAGTCCCAAAATGACTAGGTTTCAATTGGAAGATACTTGTCATACCAAGAACCAGAAAGATCTAAAACTGAATGCAAAACATATCAATAGGTGCCAACACTGAAATGACAGAGATGTTAGAATTATCTGACAGTGATTTTAAGGCAGCCTTGGTGATAAAACTGTTAATGAGCAGTTATAAACATGGTTGAAACTGATGCAGAAATAGACTCAGCAGAGACACCGGAAATGAAAAGGAGAGCACATTGGAAATTTCAGGACTGAAAATGCAGTGACTGAAATAAGAAAACCTCAGTTGCTGGACTCACCTGCAGAATGGAAAGGGAGCTTAAAGGTAGAACATTAGAAATTACCTAATCTGAATAACCAGAGAAAATAGATCTTAAAAACAAATGTGCAGAGACTCTCAGTGACCTGTGAGACTGTAACAACATCTAAGATTTCTGTTTTTGAAAGGAGAAAGAGGGCAGGGCAAAAAAGTACTTGAAAACTTTCTAAGCATATAGATTCAAGAAGCTGAACAAATCCCAGCAGGATAAACCAAAGAAATCCACACTAAAACTCCATAATCAGATCTACAAATACCATAGGGGGAAAAAAATTCTGAAAGCAGCAAGAGAAATGATACTTTACCTGTTAGTGGGAAATAGAAAACTAGCTCATTTCTCATCGGAAACCATAGAGGTCAGCAAGTGCTGAAAAGAAAAAAACTCTCAAAAATGAAAAAAACCTCTCAACCCAGCAGAAATATCCTTCAGTAATATAGGGGAAATCAACACATTCTCAAATGAAGAATAACTAATAGAACTTTTTGTCAGTAGACTATTGCCTCACGAATTTTCTAAATTTTGTTTGCTTCACATCATTGTAAAGTCAAAAAACTAAGTTGAACCATCTTAAGTCAGAGACTTTCTACTTTGTTGCCAACATTAAATGCATTTTCAACTTAATGATATTTTTCACTTTGCATGGGTTTATTGAGATGTAACCCCATTGGAAGTCAAGGAGTATCTGCATGCTATATATAAGAAACTCCAAATATAACAATATAGGTAGTTTGTAAGTATAAAGGATAGAAAAAGATTTATCATGTAGTTATTAATTACAAGAAAACTGGAGTGACTATGTTAATATTAGATAGAGTAGATTTCAAGGCAAAGGAAAATATGGAGAGATTATATAATGACCAAAAGGTTCAATCCACCAAGAAGACACAAGGATACTAAATGTAAAGGCACCAAATAGCTGCAAAATATAAGAAGCAAAAATTCATACAACTAAAGTAAAATAGACAAATCCGCAGTTACAGTTGATGAAGTCATGTCCCTCTTTCAACAATTAACAGAAAAATTAGAAAATCAGCAAGGATGTGACAGAACTCAATAACAGTATCAACCAATACTCTCTAAATAACAGTAATACATTCCACCCAGTAAGAGCACTCACACATGTTCTTTGGAGTGCTCACTGAACATATATAAATGAAATGGTGTCACTTCAAATTTACGAGTCAGGAAATCTTAATGAAAAACATTTCAGTGAGATTGCATTTCAAAAATTACATTGAATGAAAATTCAACATCTCAAAAATTTTAAGACAGCAAAACCAGTGCTTACAGAAAAATGTATAGCACTAAATGCATTCATTAGAAAAGAGGAAACATATCGATAACCTAAGCTCCTGCCTCAAGAATCTAAAAGAAGAGTATCAAAATAAAACTAAAGCAGAAGGGAGGAAATTGAAATAAAAATAAAAATGGAAGACAAAATAATAGGGAAAAATCAATGAAGCATAGAGCTGGTTCTTTGAAAAGATTAATAAAATTGACCAACCAGGAATGACCAACAAGGAATATCACTCACGATCTTACAGACATTAGAAGGATAATAAGATAGTCTTTTGGGCAACTCCAATTTTACAATGCAGATGAAATGAATCAATTCCTCAAAGACACAAACTACCGTAACTGCCCAATATGAAGTAGGGAATTTGAATAGACCTATAACTATTAGGAACTTGAATTCATAATTTTAAAACTTCCCAAATGGATGGTTTGATTAGAGAATTTTACCAGTTGTTTAAAAAAGAATTTACACCATTTCTGTATCATGTCTTTGAGAAATGAGCAAGAGAGATGGTACCATTGGGAGATGCTGGCTCAAGGATGCACATTGTCTCTCTGTTACTCCTTAGACAATTCCTCGAGAACGTTACCATTACCTGAACATAAGTGTAGTTTTAAAAAAAGACACCAGAGAAAAAAAGACAAAAACCAAATAATGACCACAGACTTATGTTTGGAAATAATAGAAGCCAAAAGGCAATGGAACAATAACTTGAAAATGGAAAGAAAAAAAGAGGCCTAGGTGGTGTGTTTTCAGAGCCTGTTCTCCTGCCCTTTTCTCTCTGTTGCTTCATAAAGGTAAGAAAAACAAGGATAGGTAGAAAGTTCAGACACTGCCCTTCCCTCCCTCTGGAGCCTGGGTACTGGAGTAGTGCTGTTGCCCTTGGAAAAGGAAATCAGCCTCTATTCCTAGTCCCTGATGTTTCTGTTTTACTTCCTTTACTTGGACAACTTTTTAAAAAGTAAAATTTCTTGTCAAGTAAGCTTATACTTTAGAGTAGAATAAAGTACGTTGACTGCAATACAGGCAGATTTGGATAAATGTCATAAGAGAGAAATTCAAACAAAACCCTTTGAAAATATAGAGGAAGGATTGAGAGTACAAGTTGAGGACATCAAGAAAGTGACAGGTGGATCTGAGAGTGAAGGAGACAGACGGGCGTGTCCGGACCTGCGCCCAGGTATCTGGGACGGGAGTGCTGTGATACAGCGACTATGTCTAGTGAGCCCCCCTGCAGTGGAGATCTGTGTTTGCTTGCTTGCTGCTAGGCTAAGTCCTACCACCTGCAACAGTGCCGGTGCTTGGAAGTACTCTGTGGATGTTTGTTGTATGAATGAATAAGTGAATCTAGAAATGAGGCGGTGATCAGTTTTGGTAAAAATGATTGGATAGGGAGGTCTGACTTAGGAGTTATACACCTGGAATCTGGTTCTGACCTGGCCGTTAGTGAGCTGTCATCCAGTCCCCCAGCTTCAGCTGTTCCTTCAGTGGTCACACAGGTGCCTGCCAACACTGAGACACATGCAAGTCGAGAACATGAGCTGTGACCCACAAGAGACTGCCGTTACTGTTGATTTTACATGTGGAGCGCTTGGCTGAGATTTGATACAGAGTAAAAATTCAGTAAAGGATGCCGTTGTTTGATGCTAGTGACACACTGACACCTCTCCTATAGCTCCTCAAGACTGTGTTAAAAGCACCTCCCGCACAAGCTAAACAGGATCCTTAAGACCATCCAGCCCAAGTCCTTCATTTAAACTGAGCACAGAATGAAAATGTGACTTTTACCAAGTCACAAAGCTAGTTGAAGGAAAGACTGTGGAGAGAAAAGGTAGTCAAGGGACCAAGGCAGGGCCATGGTTACATGTAAGGCGTGGGAGGAAAATAGGAGAGAGACGCTTGCTAGTTGGGTTTTTGAGGGCTTTATGCTGAAGACTGCAGCTGCCTTCAAGGATAAATGCTACATTCTAGAAAAAAATGATATCTACCTATTGGATAGCTTTACCTATTTCCCAATGATATTTTTAATTCAGCATGTCCACAACCAAATTGGAGTCTCTATGTGTGAACACTGAAAAGAATCTTAGAGTGTTTCCAGGTCAGTATCCCATTTTACAGACCCTGCCCAGGTTGGAGAACTCACCTCGCTTAGATTCATTAGTAGATAGCTCTGCTATCAAGCTGTTGTCTCTTGGGCTACTCCTGGCTCATCGCAGATCATTTCTTTAGAGCGAGGCTTTGGAGCTCAGCTTGACTACACACATGCTTGGGCTTGTTTAGATCAGTGGTTTCACCTTTAAAACAACAGCTGAATCTTTTTCTTAAGTTGAATCAGATGATGAAAACTGATATATTAAAAGAAACGAAGCACAGAAGTTCATTGCTAAAAACAGATGTGGTGGTGGTGGTGGTTGGGTAGTTAGGGGTTAGGAAAGGGAAAGAATGAGTCCTCCCCTCATAGTTTGGCCCCTAGTAGCTAAGGTGAGGAGCATCTAAAAGACCTCAGGGGAAGCAGTTTGAAACCCATGGGTTGGGAAACCTGTGGGTTCTGGCAAGAGAGCTGGCATGAATGATGAGACCACTGGCGTCTGTGTTCTACAAGGTCCCAGTGGCTTTAACACATGCCCCAAAGTAATGATTTCATTCTTTCTTGAATCTAAGACCTAAGAACTAGGCCATCCTCATAACTAGGACTTTAATACTCAGCTAACATTTAAAAACTCTAATCAGTCACGTTTGTTTTTATGTACACAGACAAGCTTTTGTGTGAATTAAGTTGCCTTGAAATGGTTAATTTTATTAGTGTATGTCACAGCACCCAGGAATTTCTGTCACGTGAGGGAAAGCTTAGCAGCAGAGTCTTAGTCTTGCTGAACCCCTAAAATGTTTTGATGAATTTTAAAATACTTGATGCCTTTTAAATAATTATTTTATAGTGTTATTTATAACTTTGAATTTTAGTCAGCAACTGATGAAGCCTGTGCTGCCCACCATGAGGAGACAGGGAGAGCAGGACTAAGGTTTCAGCCTCCTCTTTGAGTCATGCTGAGTGCAGAAGGAACGTGACATTTTAGATTTCTTGCTTTGTACTTCATTTTACCATCTGAGCTTTCATATTGTGCCATTTTTAATTTTAATTTACTGGCTTGTAAAGCATGTCATGACTGAAAATTCAGTAATTTAAGCTTGTGTGCTTTCTTTCAAATGATTATTAGATCGCAAGGCTGGAGGAAGATAAAGAAGAGCTGCGGCAACAGCTGTTTGCTGTTGACCCTACACGAGACAGCAAGCGAGCGGAGCAGCTTCTTCAGGAAAAAGTCCATTTGTGTCAGAAATTAAAAGACTTGACGGCTGAAGTGGCAGAATTAAGGGCTGAAAAAGAGAATTCTGGTGCTCAGATAGAAAGTGTCCAAAGAATACAGGTGCGCCAGTTGACTGAGATGCAGGCGACCGTCAGATCCCTGGAGGTGAGGTTTTAATTGCATCTCAGTAGAGGGTGGCATACTTGTAAAACGTGCAACTGACAAGCCTTTGATTTTTAGAGCGTAAACGTATGCTCACAAAGCTGATGCTGACGCACTTGTGGATCCCAAGAGTAGGAACTGTTTTTGTAAAGAAGAAAGCTATTGACTCATAATCAGTATCTATGCTACCACATTTACAAAGAGATGTTTATTCTTTGGGAGTCAAGTCACCTATCTGAAATGACTTAACTCTTATAATGCCGCGTAATAGAATATGCAGAATGAAAAAAATATGTATTTGAGTTTCTGAGACTAAAGTGATCTCAAGCCAGTGAGAATAATTCCTTCTGACAGTCCATTTCTTACACTGGGATTTTTACTTTAAAATCAGAAATCCTGTTTGAATAGAACTATCATACTTATATATCTTATGACAGCTTCTTGCTAGAGTGGTAAAATTCAGCTTGGCTACTAATATGTGCAAGCCTCTACTGAATTATTTTCCTGAGTTAAGTGGAGGAAGACAAGTGTTGACAAAGCCAGGCTGTTACTCTATGAATTATGAAAATACTCTGTTACTCCTAGAGGTCTTGCTCTATGAATTTCTTGGTTTCCATTTTCTTCAGATATGCTTGTTCCTCCTAGCTCTTGGTGCCTAACTTGTAACAAATATACCACTGCAATTGTTTTGGTTTATTTTGTGCAGTTCGGTATTTTTCTTATCCCTTTGGAATTGTGAAATGATATGTGTCAGAGTGAAGTTAGTGAGCACCTAGTTTGTAGTTAAGATCAATATTCAGTTCTGAAATGGGAATCTTTTTTCCCAGCCAGCAAGCTGGTACAAGGAGTATGTTGATATGTTTTGGAGATAAGTCACTTTTTTATTTTTTGCGTGAAACTTCTGGCAGTATTATTGGCTTCTTGAATTAAAGTTGTCAGTATCATTGAGCCTTAGATGTGAAGCAGTTCAGTGTTAGACTACTAATGTTGCTGTCCTTTTCTCCTTAATGTATCTTATACAGTGACAGAGTAAGTGGGATGATTGCAGTGGAATGTGGCCTATAGTCCCCTGTGAAACTTCTCGCTGGGCTCACTAAGAGTGGTTGTTTTCAGGGCAAGCTAAATGATGACAAAAGACGGATGGTTCATTTGTGACACTTTCAGAAGAGCCTACCTTTTTAATTTTATCGTTTGTCAGATGAGATGAGAATAATCTCATCACACAACAGCTAGCCCTTTTTTCCTCTTTAACTTTTTTGCTATCATTGTGCCCAGAGAGTATTATTTGGTATTTGAGAAAATAGGTTTTATCCCGAATTATTTGTTGAATACATTATCATAGTCTAGATAGTTGTTCCCCAACTCAAGATGGTTTGACTCATTTTTTTTTTTTTTTTTTAATTTTTGTGATGGTGTGAGAGCAATATACATTCAGTACAAACTGTTCTTCAAACTGTGAATTTTGATCTCCTCCTGGGGTGCCAATAATGTGGTATGATGCACTCTCCGTGCTGGGCAGCTTTACTGAACTGCAGTTCCCAGGCAGCCATGTGACCACAGGAGCGTCAACAACCTCCTTATAGTGCACTCTGCTGCCAGAGGATTTTGCCCAACTCTGGCTAATGTCTAGTGTTCTGGGTACATTTAAGCTGTGAAGTTTGGTAGATTAGGTGCATCAAATGCATTTTCAACTTTGATATTTCTGATTTTGATGGGTTTATCGGGACATACCTTCATTGTGAGTCAGGAGCATCTGAGTACAGGAAGTGAGATGTTGTATAACTGAGACTTATCGTTGAAATGTAGAAACGTTTCCATTTTAATTATTTTGAATAGAAATATTTTTTAAAAGCTTTCAATTTTCCCTCCCGAATGAAAAAGTACTTACTGTCAATGTTATCAATCAGAATTTTTTTTGACAACTTGCAGACTTCCTTAAGAATTTCAACTATGTGATGAGGTCAAGAGTTTTTTTGCTTATACTTCAGAAGTCTCCAGATTAGCTGAGGATTTTGAATTCCCTTCCTGCTTTCTCGCTTTCAAAAATCTCCATTGCGTGTAGATTTTCCCTTTCACCTCTGCAATAAGCCCTCTCTTCCACCTTCTGATATACTTTTTCATATCCGCTGTGAACTGGAGGAAACTCCTAAAATGTTGGTTTGAATTATGTCATTGTTAAGAGTAAGGTATTAAATAAGGCCCTTATTATTCTCTCTTGAGGGAGCATAGGAGCTTTATTTTGTTGGTGGCGATTGATCATGTTGTTTGTCCATACTTGTTGCATATTTCCTGGGGCAAATCTTTTTCATTTGAATTCTACCAATTAGTGTGAAAAAACTCCTGTTACTTTGGCACATGTTAATATTGTCGAGATTTCCAATAATTTTTTTGTGTAATTATACGTGTATTTTAAATAGTGTTTATTTTGATATTATTGTGAAAAATTATGAACACATCTTAAAATTTTTTTTTAATGAAATTAGGCTGAAAAACAGTCAGCCAAACTACAGACTGAACGCTTAGAAAAAGAGCTACAATCAAGCAGTGAGCAAAATACCTTGTTAATCAATCAATTGCATAAAGCTGAAAGAGAAATAAGTACATTGACCAGTAAAGTAAGTTGTTTTGTACTTTTATTATTTAGAATACTTGATACAGTATAATGATAAACAACTTTGTTTTTAATAGTTTATTTCTCTGTACTGAAATCTTTTTAATTGTCATTCTGTGTTCCAAGACATAAATGCATTGATCAGTAGAGTATATCATTTTATGCTTCTACGTGTTCTTTAGAATGCTTGATACTGTACAATGACAAAGAAATTTTATGTTTAAACAGTTTAGTTTTATATGTTGAGATCTTTTTAATCCTCTCATTCTGCCGTCAAATACATGCAGAATCTGATCAGTTCTTACCACGCCCACTGTAGCCACTCTAGTCCTAGCCCTGATTTCTCTAGGCACAGTCTCTATGCCAGCCTGCTGAGTGGTGTCTCTTCTCCGCCCAGTCAGAGCTGTGTTCTCTGGACCCCAAAGTCCTTTCACAGCCGTCACCCTCCGCTTTTGCTCCCCTGGCTGCTCACTCTTGGACAGCCCACTTCCTCAGGGCCTTTACCTGTGCCTGATGCGGACTTCCCCCAAGCACTCGATGACTTACCTCCTTCCCAACTTCAGAACTCGCCTCACCAGAGAGGTGTTTCTCGTCCTCACTCTGGAGAACAGCATCTTCCCTCTTCCTCTGCCTTCCAAGCTTGCACCTGGTTTTTTTCATAGCTCTTAGTAACATCTGATACATTATTTTTTGTCTCTCCTTTTTTTCCTCATTACCTTCCCCTCATCACCAAATGTGAGCTCCAGGAGAGTAGGGATATTGTTTTCATCACTGTTTTTCTGGGTCCTGGAGCAGTGTTGACACATAGTAGGTACTCAGTACAATTTTTTCAGTGAATAAATTAATAGTAGCAGCATGATCTGCATTTATGTTCTTTTTAAAATAATGTGATAATTTGAATATTTCAAAAATATTTTTATATACAAAGTTTTTCAGGAACTAAAAGGCTTTTGCCCTTTCCTCAAATGCAGTATACATATGGAAACTAATAGTCAGAAATAGGATAGCAATTATGAAAATACTTTACAGAAAGAATATCAACCTCTGGAATCAGGCAGACTGGATTCAGATTCTATTTTTTTCCTTACTAAAGCTGTGTGACCTTGGGCAATTCACCTTCTCTCTGAAACATTAGCGTCTTTATCTATAAAATAGGACTTATACCTACCTTATAGATTTGTGGCAAAAATTTAATGAGATATTGTGCATAAAGCATGGTAGCATAGGGTCTGACAAATAATCACTCAGATGTTAGCTATTATTATTATTAGGACGTGGGCATCTCTAAGATCTTGGAAATAAGACCGGCTTCTGAGTCCATAAAGTAATTGCATTTTCTGTCAGTATAGAGTTATGTAAAATCACCTTAAAAAACAAGATGACTCCCAGACCAGAAGACACTCATACCTGGTAGAAATATATGACTTTATCTAAAGGAATAATGTATTCATTATAAATTATTTCACCAAGGAGTTGCTTGAGAAACTCAGAGACTATGTTCATGACAGAGGGGAGGAAGTTTTGGCAGAGTTTGAGTATTCAGGTCACACTGAGAAGCTCGTCCTTACTGTGGAGATGAATAAGCCACTATGTGTTAACCTGAGGCTATGAAACAGCCTGTTCACCTGTTACCTGTTCTCATTCCATGGTCACCAAGCAGCCCCTGCTGTTCCTCGCTTTCCATGTGATTTTGTCTACAAATCGAGAAGGCTTTAGCCCTTCAGACTGAGAGTATTAGAGTTATCATTGTAGTTTTTCTTATGGTCAGCAAATAGGCATTCTGACTTTATAGATCACTCTTTTTAAGCCTTATTACTGTGACTTTAGCTTTGAGAATCTTCTTTAAGGCTGGTGACAAAATTGTACTTCTGTGCCTGAAATGCCAAAATCCTAATTTTGGATCTATTGAATGTTACCTTGGGAGATTGTCTACCTGTGTTTCTCATGTCAGACATACTGTGCTACATTTGCATTATGTGTCTAGTGATTTTTAATTTTTGTTTGAATTTCTATACTTTACTGTTTACAAAGTGGTTTTGTAGCCAGTGTCTCATTTAATTCAGTAGACATTGCGAATACTACCAAGAATAAGTGAAATTTAGGCAAGTAAGAGTTTTTTTTAATTGTTAAAATATTTTAATTTCAAGAACAGGCTTCTAGTTTAGGTTGAAATTCAGATATATATGGAAATTTAAAACCATCATTTTGGAGTAGTTAGTGAAGTACAGTGGACTTTGAGGATGAATCTGTCTTTGAATCCTTGCTCTTTCACTTCAGTCACCTGAGTGATTTCTGGTTTGCTTAACTTGTTAATGGGGGATAATAGCCTATCTCAGGATTTTTGTGAAGATGAAAGATAGTATTCAACACAGTAAATAGTAACTGACACTGAAAATGATAGTAACAGTATACATTAGTGATATCCTTAAATAAGAAAACATGGCAACATAAAGGATAACAGAATTTTTAGCCTATTGACTAGTCTGTTCCTCACTGTATCAATACTTGTGCGTATAACCTTACGAGTTACTTAATATCATTGGGATCCAATTTCCTCATAGGTGAAATGAAGCATTGTTTTGGCTGCCCCCAAGAACCTTTCTAGCCTACTAAGATTGTGTAAGAAATTCTAGAAAATAAATTAATAATTTGATTGCCTCAAACCAGGCGAAGTAAGGATCAAAGGGAGGCCCAAACTTTACCTGTAGATGACCACTTGTAAACGTAATCCTTAATTGTACCCCACATCTTTCAAACGAAAGATAATAATTTGATTGCTTCCTGATTAACTATAAGTAGATTATTTATATGTTCAACAGGTACATATCGCATGCTTACTATAGAGTATACAAAAAGCTAGATTCAAAAGACAAAAATGTGAGTCCAGGGTGCAGGGTAGTCCTTTCATGCTTTTCTTCTAATTCTGGTATGAAGTCTTCTCAGTTTTGTAAAAATGTTGAGTACCCAATATTGACAACACATTGTTCCAGACCTGAGTAGTTAGGCTAGACTGCTGGGGCAGCTGGACCCTGGGTGCAGCAGTAAGACCCTGGGCTGACAGCTTCTGCCATGGCTCCTTGGGGATCACAGGTGCTCCACAGTGAATGGCCCTGGCCCTGGCTCACCTGGGTGCCACCCTGGTTTCTCCTCTTTGTTCTGTACTTACCCAGTTACCATTGGTCTTTCCTTTGAGAGTTAGAGCAGGAGATGATTTCTCCTTGCTCTGCTGGAAGGAAAAACAGCGATTTAGTATGCTATTGTTTATTTCCCTGAGCTTGTTTATCAACACACACAGCTAAGAGTTGCCTCTCTTTTTAAAGGCACACTTTAGTTATTTTGCATATAAGTGGAGTATTAAATAGCATCCTGCAACTTCAGACAAAAGAAGTTTCATTTAAAATCTTGTACGTAAAAAGATTCCATTGGAATGATCAATTTTAAAATAATATTTCAAATGTGACTGTCACAGTTTTCTTTGCAACTTGAAGTTTTCATCAACATTTTGCAGTTGTAGCAAATGGTTGTTTGCAATGCAAAGGAACACCTGGAGTGTGTTTGTCTAAGTTATTCAAATTTGTAAATGTGTGTTAGAGTTTAGAACAGAGTTATGTCAGTGTGACTATCAGTGTCTTGGATATAAAGGCATTAACAAAGACGATGGCCTGACAGTGATGGTCTTAAAGAAATTTCACATTCATGGTATATTCTTCTAGTTAGGCATGAGGCTTTGATCTTCAGAAAACCAATAAAAGACCCTTTTAAGGACGCCATCACCAGAGTTTTCCTTATTTAGCTAAATTAACGCAGTCATATCATCTCAGAACTTTGATAAAGATCAGAATGTAAGGACCATCACTTCGGAATTTGCATTCAGAACTTCTTAGACAATACATTTTTTTCAACTATATTTCTGTGTCTTGCTTATGTATATTGTTTCCTCGCGTGGGTATGTGTACTTAAACAGATTCTGTCCCCTTGTAAAATGTACAGTGTTGCCATTTTTGACATTTATTGAAGTTTTATTGGTAGTAACCTCCATTGTATCAAAAGCATAAAGCAGATTTGCAACATAAAGGCCAAAATCGACATGGGAAACATTTTGTGAAGAACAGGGCGATTTGGTCTCGAGGAGCTTCAGAAGACTGTGAATGTCTTAAAATCTTATGCAGCATTTAACTTATTTGTTTTATTTAAGAAAGATCCCTAGTTTGTCTAGGATTTTGGGACCACATCACAAAGAGGGCTTAGAACCAGGGATCTAGAGGCAGAAAGAAACTTTATTGTGGCTTTTTGGGATTTGGTTCAGATTACTCAGAGAAAAGCATTATTTGTCATTACTGGGTAATGCATTTCCATACATGTTTTTTATTTTTAATGAATAAAATAATTCTTTTTAGTTTAGTTTTTTTTTTTTTAAAGGAAACTAACAGTTACTGTCTGTATAAGTGCATTCATTATTTTAGGATTATGAAAATAAAGCATTAAAGAAAAACTGAAGATCCACCAATGAATCAATTTGAATGCAGAGGACAAATCAATTGCTGGGGGTCACACTGCTCCTTTAACTGCAAAAGGAGGCCTGAAGTCAGACCTCGCCTGTTGCTTGACTCTCTGTCTGGTGTTCTTTCAGTTTCAATAATTATAGTTTAGTTGAAAATGTTTTCTTATTTTAGTAACTCTCAGGGTGAAATGAGTAAGAAACAAGTTGTTATTTCTTCTTAAAGTTACCATAAAGTGAATCTACTTTCTATGCAATAAGATGGCTCTGATTTTCTACCTCATGTAGCTATAGTATAATTTGTTAAGGAACTGCTCTGTCATTCTTAACCTTTTACAGTTAGTATGTCCTAGCAGTTATAAACTATATTTGTCACAGTAATTGGAGGTTCATTGAAATTGTATTTCTTCAATTTTTTTTTTTTTTTTGAATTGGAGTCTCACTGTCGTCCAGGCTGGAGTGCAGTGGCATGCTCCCAGCTACCGCAGCCTTGACCTGCTGGGCTCAGGCGATCCTTCCACCTCAGCCTTCCAAGTAGCTGGAACTACAGGCACAAGGCACCATGCCCAGCTAATTTTTTGATTTATTGTAGAGATGAGGTCTCACCAAGTTGGTCTCAGGGTGGTTTTGAACCCATGGGCTTAGGCAGTTCTCTCACTTTGGCCTCCCAAAGTGCTGGGATTATAGGCTTGAGCCACCACACCTGGCCCTCAAACTTTAAAAGAATTTACAATTTGAATTCTGTCTGCCCATGAAATTATAATGTAGTGAAACCCAATCTACAAAAATTTTAAGTATTAAAATAACTATAATTTCTTAGTTGCTTTCATGTAGTTAAACATCATTTTGTGATACTTGCTTTTATAGAAAAGAAAGTCAAGCCAGGCACGGTGACTCATGCCTGTAATCCTAGCACTTTGGGAGACTGAGGCAAGAGGATTGCTTGAACCCAGGAGTTTGAAACCATCCTGGGCAACATAGCAAGACCTTGTCTCTACAAAACAATAAAAAATAAATAAGTATATAAATAGAAAAGAACTTCAGAAAGGAGATTAAAAAATGGAAACCTGATGTCAGTATAAGGAAACCATTTTATGTACTGTCATTTAAAAATCCACAAGTTAATTTGGAGGGATACCTTATGGTAGTTAGTAGTACAAAGATAGTACATACTCACTTTTGGTTTGTTTCTTTTGTTATTATTGTTGTTGAGTCAGTGTGTTGCTCTATTGTCCAGGCTGGAGTGCAGTGGCATGATTACAGCTCACGATAGCCTTGACCTCCTGGGCTCAGGCCATCCTTCTGCCTCTGCTTCCTAAGTAGCTGGGACTACAGATGTGTGCCACCACACCCAGCTAATTTTTTAATTTTTTTGTAGAGATGAGATCTCTCTATGATGCCCAGTCTGGTCTTGAACTCCTGGGCCCAAGCAATCCTCCTGCCTCAGTCTCCCGAAGTGCTGGATTACAAGCATGAACCGCCATGCCTGGCTTGGTGTCTCTTCTAGTGAGGCATTTCTATTTTTTGTCCTTGCCCACTTTGGCTCTGGGCCCTCTTGGTTTGTGTAAAACTCCCACCTCCACTTTTTACAGGGTCTGACTGGACTCTGAGCAAATTGTTCTTTACTCTGTGGTTCCTAGCATCTCACATTTTATGTATTTGACTTGTGTATATTTGTAGTTTCCTACTCTGAGCCCATGGTCTATACATTAAGATAATATGTCTTAAAAAAAAAAAAAAGATAATGTGTCTGAATGCAGTGTTATCTGACCTTTATGTCTTTTTTGATGAAATCCATATACTAGTATAACTAATTTTAGAAGCATCAGACCACAGAGAAACCTGTGGTAAATGCTAGAGCAGTGCAGGTAATTGCAGAGACAAGGCTTTCTTATTTGCTGTTGTGTCCTCAGCTTCTAAAACAGTTCCTGACATGTAATAGGTATTCAGTAAATATTTGCTGAATAAATGAAGAAAAAGCCACAAACTAGAATTATTCAGCCTTCAAAGGGATATCTCAGTGAAGACTAAAAAATATTATGTGGTGGCTAATTATAAGGAAAGTACTGGCAATTATTCACAGTCATTTATGGCCTTAAAAGAATTAGGTTTTGGCAAAAAAGGTTTAAATTTATACAGTGTATACTTAATCCTACTCCTCTTTATGTGCAGGCACGCACACATACACATACCTATGTGCATACATCATTTACTTACCAAATTCAGTGGATTTTTCCTTCTTGCCCCTTTTATTAATTTTTGCATCTTTTTTTTTCCTTTTAATTTTTGAGTTGGGTCCTCACTCTATCACCCAGATTGGAGTGCAGTGGCATGATCATGGCTCACCACAACCCCAAACTTCTGGGCTCAGGTGATCCTCTTGCCTCAGCCTCTGGAACTATAGGCACATGCCACCATGCCCGGCTAACTTTTTGATCTTTTTGTAGAGATAAGTTCTCGCTATGTTGCTCAGGCTGGTCTCAAACTCCTGGGTTCAAGCAGTCTTTCTGCCTGGGCCTCCCAAAGTGCTTGGATGACAGGGATGAGCTACAGTGCCTGGCCTATTTCTTGCTTCTTAATTGATTCCTTTACCTTCAGTTTCTTAAGCCAGCACATTTGCATTAGCTTGAATTGTGCCACCTTCTACAGCTACAGGGTCAATAGCCTTTTTGTGTGGCATAGAAATTTTGTTCACTGCCATTTCTCCACAGATTTCACGCCTTCCTTGCCCTACCTGTAACGCATGGCTTGTTGGCTTAAGAGCAAACCATGTTGTGTCATACCCATATAACACTTTATATGCCGTTTCTTCTACCTAGAGGGTTTTGTTTGTCCCCAGCACCTCTTTGTTTTCTAATTTTATTTTTATAGCGGCAAGGCTATAGTCACCCAGGCTGGAGTACAGTGGTGCAATCGTAGCTCACTGCAGCCTTAATCTTCTGGGCTCCTTCCACCTCAGCCTCCCAAGTAGCTGGGACTACAGGTGTGCACCACTGTGTCCAGCTAATTTTAAAAAAAATTTGTTTAGAGATGGTGTCTTTGTATGTTGCCCAGGCTGATTTTAACCTCCTGACCTCAAGCATTCCTTCTGCCTCAGCCTCCCAAGTATCTGGAATTACAGGTGTGAGCAAACTATGCTTGGCTCCCAACACATTTTGAAAAGGAAGGTTTCAGGGGTTTTTTTTTTGTGAATGTTTTAGTCATTGGCTTATATATTTATTTATTTAGAGTTAGGTTCTCACTCTGTTGCTCAGGCTGGAGTGCAGTGGCACAATTGTGGCTCACTGTGGGTCACTGCAACCTTGACCCTTTGGGCTCAGGCAATCCTTCCGTCTCAGCCTCCTGAGAATCTGCGACTACAGATGTGCACTACCACACCCAGCAAATTTTTTGATGTTTTTGTAGAGATGAGATCGCGATATGTTGCTTAGTCTGGTCTTGAACTCCTGGCTCAAGTAATCCTCCTGCTTCAGCCTCCCAAAGTATTGGGATTACAAGTGTGAGCCGTGCACCTGGCTGACTATTTGATATTAGATGCTTATAATTAAGTCTTTTAAGGCAAGATTAAAAGAAATGCATCACTTCTGTTAGGAAAAGACAGTGTTTTCTTGGTGTCTCCTTGTGCTAAATACTGTTCCAGGCCTTGGCACACCTTCCTTCCCTCAAGGCACTGGTACTCTATACCACCAAAGCATTTTCTTATTTTCACTTAGTTTTTGAGTAAGTATTGAATGGCAAGAAAATGATTGATAATAATTTCAATTTCTAATTATCAACAGGTAAAAGAACTTAAACATTCCAACAAACTAGAAATAACAGACATCAAACTGGAGGCAGCAAGAGCTAAGAGTGAGCTAGAAAGAGAAAGGAATAAGATTCAGAGTGAACTGGATGGTAATATGACATTTTCACATGCTTTTTATTATTATTTTCAGATAAAAACTCACATTATTAGAATAGTTCAACTTGAATTTCTATTTCCAGATTTTCAGTTTAATTACCTTTTAATTTTGGAGTACATATGGATTGTTTTTGCTTATATATGGGATGGTTTGTTCATTATAAGAGATAACTTAAAAAATTAATCCTGTGTTATGCCATAGTTCTTTGATTAATATGTAAATTAAGTATAACTTTGAAAATGCAGTTTCATCATTCCTCAGTTTGTACTTTTAAATATATTTGGATCATGTAGTTGTTAGACCAGGAAATCAAATCTAGAGAATGTAAGGAAGATAGCTGCATTCAACGCCTAATTTATATTTTTTTTCTTTTAGAGTCTTACTCTGTCATGTAGGCAGGAGTACAGTAGTGTGATCCTGGCTGACGGCACTCTTGACCTCCTGTGTAGATCTCATTAAAATAAAAAAATTTATGTAGACCGTAGGCCGGTTACTCGTGCCTAGTTCAGTGTAGGCCTATTTTTAAGTTCTAGTTTAGCCTGAGAATGCCCATCTCATCAAGTTTTCTCAGAATGCCTATTGTTTCTAACTTTCTTAAAGACTTAAATAAACTGCCTTGACCTGTAGCCGTCCTTGAGTTTGTCTGTAGTTGAACTACTTTTAGGCAGAATTTATAAATGGGAGATTTTATTTTTATTTTTTGAAAAGGGGTCATGCTGTGTATCTTTTTACCCTTGCCTTTTAAGAGTTATTGATATAATAGGACTGTGCTCAAGCTGGACTTGAACTCTGGGGCTTAAACGATCTTCCCGCCTCAGCCTCCTGAGTACTTGGTACTGCAGGTACTGCTACTGTTTGAATGATTTTTTTTAAATGGTTAATTTCTACTTGTGGTTGCCTCACGGATCTCCAGAGTTAAGGAGTAGATTTTCGCAGGAGCTCAAAGGGTTTCGGATCTAGTACAGCATTCTGTGTTGCACTTTGAGTTAGATATTAATTTGCTTTAGCTTTTCCACATACCTGGTACTCACCATCTCCTCACGGGTGGTTTGTGAATTCATTAGACAAATGTGAGCATTTCCCTATTGTTTCTATTTCTGCTGGAATCACAGGTTTTGAGGGGTTGTGTGATTTGATTCCCTCTGCAATAGGCCGGCTTTGTTCTGCAGCTGCTTAGGGCTTGGCTTGCAAGACCCTTTAAAGCTAGAATAGTGAGCCTCTGGATATCATCCATGCTGATACCCTCAGTCCTCAAGATGTGAATGAGTAAATGTATATGACCTTTTATTAAGGTTGTTGTGTGTGTATGTGCTGTGTATCATAATGCCAGAAAAAATTAACTCTTAGTCTGTTTTATTCTTATTTTAAGGGAGTTTATTAATGATGTAAGGATCTTTGAGAATACATACCCAGAGAGATGCTCTGCATTCTTATAATTGTCCTACCAGCTATGAATGCTTGCTGTTAGTTGTGATTTTTCATCTGAATAACACTGAAGATAGTACATTTTTCTCCTTAAAATAATACTAGGATTACAGTCAGACAATGAAATTCTCAAATCAGCTGTTGAACACCACAAAATGCTCTTAGTAGAAAAGGATCGTGAATTAATACGTAAAGTACAAGCTACTAGAGAAGAAGGTTACCAAAAACTTGTGGCATTACAAGATGAAAAGTAAGTACTTAATGACCTTGCGTTAAATCTCTTTGCAAATGAAGCATTTTACTGTCACCTTTATTGTAGTTCTTGTAACATAATAATCATCTGTTGTTTTAGGCTGGAACTTGAGAACAGATTAGCAGAGTTAGAGAATATGAAAGTGGAACGTGATGTCTGGAGGCAATCTGAACGAGACCAGTGTGAGGAGAGGCTGAGGTCCATGCAGATGGCAGAGGAGTTGGCCAGAAAGGAGCTGCAGAGCCTGAGGTTGTAGCTGCGTGTGCACATGTGCTTAAAAATGTTAATTTTGGAGTAATGTTAGTTCACAAAATGATGTAAAAGTAGTACACGAAATTCCTACGTGCCCTTTACCCTGATCTTCAAATTCAACACCCTACATAACCATATTATAATAACCAAGACTAGGAAATTAAGGTCAGTGTGATCAGGACTTCAGACTTTACTGTTATTAAACTACTAACTTTTCTCATATTTTACCAGTTGTCCCACCGATGTCCTTTTTCTGTTCTAAGGTCCACTCCAAGATCACACTTGACCTTTACTTAGGTTCTGTTAATCTGGGACCTAGTAACACTTCTGAAAAGTGCTTGTCAGTATGTCTCTCAATTTGGGTTTGTAGTACATTTTTCATGTTTAAGTTCAGGGTATTCATTTTTAGCAAAAATAAAACCTAAGTCATATGTCCTCAGTGCGTCATATTAGTAGGCTCATGGTCCGTCCACTCTACTGGTGATTCTAACCTTGGTCATTTGGTTGAAGTGGTGTCTGCCAGATTTTTCCACTACAAAATTAACTATTTTTCCCTCTGTAACATATCATTATCTTCTGGCTGCCCTTATGGTTCTTTGAGACCATGCACATATTCTCATCATACTTTCTCATCACACATCCTCCCACTAATGTTAGTATCCATTGATAATTCTTACCTGAGAAAATTATAGTGTTTGCCAAATGGTGATTTTTCTATTTCTGTCATTCCTCCCACATTTATTAGTTGGAATTCTCCAGAAAGGAAGAGCTTTCCCTTCTCCTCTAAATATTATACCATTATGGATTTATAGATTTTATTTTTTTCTATGGGTGATATTTTATTATACTTAATTGTGTTGTACAGAGTTTCTCAGCTTTGGTCATTGGAAGGTCTTTCAAGTTGAATCCTGTGTCCTTTTGACATAATTCACCTTTGTTTTTTGAAGTTCTCTTTCTTTTCTGGCATCACAGGGTGCTCTAGGGCCTCTTTTACTTTGCCTGCCCCAACCCTGTAAGTACTCTTTCTTTAGGATATGTTTTTGTTGTTGTTGTTAATTGGAGAATGAGGTTTAGAAAACAGAATCTCAGCTTTAGGTTTGCTTATTGGTACTAGGGAATCAGTGCTTCTAGTCCCTCTCGGGGAACTGAGCTGGGAAGCATGTTTATGTACACATGAATATACATTATTTTTTGTTTTTCTATATTATGTATAGATTACTATATATTATATAGAAAAATAAAGAAATAGATATGTGTATTTGAATGTTTCCAATAATGAGTTTATATTGACATTTCTAATTTCATTCTAACACCATAGAGTTTATTTTAGTCATCTCTCTTTCCATATTTGCAGCTCCTCTGATGGTGAGAAACCTGGCCTTCATTAATCACACTATACTAACTGAATTCCTTAGCCCTAGCATACACATACAGTAGTTTTGGGATTGCTAACTCATAACTCAGTGAAAAGCAAACCTATTGACTAACATGTGATATCTGTGTTCAGTTCTTTTTGTCTTTAACCTTAGAGTGTAGGGATAATTCCAGCTTTTTGGGGTCCCTCCTTATATAGTCAAAATACTGTTTTCCGAAGTTACTTAGGATTTTTCTACCATATCCTGGTTCAGTGTGGTTATGTTTGTCGCGTATAAAACAAGTTTATTGTTTCTGTTTTGTTCCAATTTGAGTCCCCCCCATCCTTGTTTATTTATTAATATACTTGGATATGTGAAACATCCAAGTGGTTCTAAAGGATAGAACTACAAGAACGCAAAAAATACTCAGAAAGGTGCCACTGTCCACATCTGCTCTCCCTGCCCCATCCCCTCATTTTTCCCACCCACCCTGTAATTAATCTCATTAGTTGCTGGTTTACCTTTCGTGGGTTTGTTTTTTGTTTTCTAATAGATGTCAGATGGCTGTGTATTTTCTTTTTCTTTTTCTTTTTTTTTTTTGAGTCAGTCTCACTCTGTCACCCAGACTGGAGTGCAGTGGCACACTCATGGCCACCACAGCCTTGACCTGCTGGGCTCAAGTGATCCTTCCACCTCAGACTTCCAAGTAGCTGGAACTACAGGCACACGCCACCATGCTTGGCTAATTTTTTGATTTATTGTAGAGACGAGTTCTCACCAAGTTGCTGAGGCTAGCATCAAACTCCTGGGCTCAGGCAGTCCTCTCCCTTCCGCCTCCCAAAGTGCTGGGATTACAAGCATGAGCCACAATGCCTGGCTTATATTTTCTTTCTACTTCTTCTTTATCAATGTATCCTGGAAACTGCTTAATGTTAGTTCACAGACATTTCCCTCTTTCTGTTTTTTTCAGCTGCACAACACTCCATTGTGTGCATGGATCAGTGTTTATTGAGGTGCTCTCCTGCCTTTCAGTGGTTTCCAGTATTTTGTGGTTACTATGATCTAATCGATAATGCTGGACATACATATATTTCATGTTGTTGAAGGTGTGTCTTCAGGGTGAATTCCTGAAGTAAACAGGTGTTTCAAAAGGTAAATTCATGTGCAGTTTTGTTAGGTATTGCCAAATTTTTATCCAAAATAATTGTACTACTTTGCGTCTCAGTGTAGTTTAATTTGTATTTCTCATATCATAAATGAGGTTGAACAGCTTTTTTTATGTATGTATATATACACATACATATATATATATGTACTTGATTTTATTATAAAGATGTGGGGTACAAGTCAGGATTGGGTACGTAAGGTGTACCCAATGCGTGTAGGTGAAGTTTGGCTCTTCAGCTGGTCCTCACTTCCCCTGGTTTAGGATCAGGTACCCTTAGTGATGTAGTTTTTCAAATTTTTAAGGGCCATTTTTATATCATTTTTGTGTATTAATTATCTGATCATGTCTTTTCCTATTGTGATTGGTTTCTTTGGTCTTTTTCCCTTTGCTTTTTAGGAGTTCTTTATATATTAGGATTACGCTTCAAATCTCCTAGTGTGTCAGCAGTCATTTGACTCCATTTCTCATATTTTTTTGCCATGCAAAATTTTGTATTACATAATTTATTAATTTATTATTACCTCTGGATATTAAGTCATGATTAGATAGTCTCTTCATGAACTGAGGTTACAGAGGAATTCACTTTTTTTTTTTTTTGCTAGTTTTTTTTTTTTATATTTTGTTCTCTGGGTATATTTTGTTCTATTTGGAGTATGTTCTTATGTATGCTGTGAGGTATGGATTTAATTTTTTTTTAATGGCTAACCAGTTGTTCCATACTTTTATTAAAAACCTATCTTTGCCTCAATGATTGGTGGTGGTGATTTTATTATATTTTAAATTTCCAGCAGGTGTAGTGGCTCACTTAATCCCAGCACTTTGGGAGGCCAAGGCAGGAGGATTGCCTGAGCTCAGGGGTTCAAGACCAGCCTGGGCAACTTGGTGAGACCTCATCTCTACAATAAATCAAAAAATAAGCCAGGTGTGATAGTGTGCACTTATAGTTCCAACTATTTGAAAGGCTGAAGCAAAAGGATCACCTGAGCCCAGCAGGTAGAGGCTGTGGTAACTGTGAGCATGCTACTGCACTCCAGCCTGGGCAACAGACTGAGACTCCAACTTAAAAAAAAAAAATTCATATATACTTGGTTATATTTCTGGACTTTTTGTTATATTTCACTCTTGTCTGTTCCTGTTTCATTATCACAATATTTTAATTGTAGAAGCTTTATAGTTTGCTTTAATGTTGGGTTGTGCTACTCTGTAGTTTTTCCTAGTTTTAAGCTATTATTATATGTTTTTTTCCATATCAACTTGAATAGCGTCTCACTCCATAAAAAAGTTTGTTGATAACTTTTCCCCAAATTTTTTATTGTTGAAATGCATATAATATAAAATTTAGCATTTTAACTATTTTTACATATATAATTTAGTGGTATGGAATACATGTATAATGTGGACCCTTCACCACCATCCATCTACAGAGCTCTTTTCATCTTTTAAAACTGAAACTCTGTGCCCATTAAACAATAATGCCCCATTTCCCCTTCTCACATCTGCGGGGGCCTGCCCCTTCCGGGTCTTGGGTTTCCTGAAGGAGGGATGAACAGGCGAAAGACAAAAATAATATACTCAGACACCTACTTGCTGAACAGATGACAATTTAATGTTAGTTAACACAGAGCTTTTATGCCATTCGTAAAGGGGCAAGACAAAGAAAATTCCTTCACGTGCATATGCTTTAAAAGTTACCACCATCCAGCGGTCTAGAAGCGACAAACAAGCCAAGAACACTATCTACTTTTAGTTAATGAGTCTTTATCATAAAGCCAAAAATGATAGTCTTAGTTCCAAGTCCTGAATTACAGTCCTTGAAATGTCTCAAGAAAGTTTCCAAGTGCACATTTCTCCATGTGTCAGGAGTTTTTCTCTCTGGGGCTTCTATGACCTTCAAAGCTTCATAATCGCCTCTTTTGTCCAGGCATCTTCATTACTTTTCTCTTATTCTGCAGTGTTTATTTCTAAAGAAAACTCAAAAGAAGCTTTAGTGATGTTTCCCAGGCCCCTGGGGTTGCTTTCTGTATTTAGTTAATTTATCATAAAAGTATCCAGTTAGTATATTATGAATTCAGTGAAAACCCACTCTATAAACATTAACTTAGAATTTTAACTATTGAATTAAGTAAAAACCTTAACAATTAATCTTCATCCTAAATCTGTGAAAACAGTGTTATAAATCACCTACATAACTCCTAGATAAGTGTTAGAACTTATAATGAATTCATAATGAACTTACTATAAACTTGTGCTTCTAAAAAACCTTATGTCTAAACACTAAACTACATAATTCTAAATCAAATAAGGAGTGAATATACTTGTATCATTTTTACTCAAGCAGTATCTAGTAACTTATAACCAAGTGAAAGAAAGCATTTTTGATGTGCTTCAGAGTTTAACCATTGATTTGTTAGAAAAGGCCAAATGGCATAGTGGGAAATGAAAAATAAACCATGACATTCTCAGGTTAGCTGTGA